CAAAATTTGCTTTAAAAAAGGTTTTTTTGACATTCCCAAGAATCAGAGATAATATTGATTAATATATCATATAGGGTAAGTCAGAAGTGCGTTACGTTTGGATTGCATTGCGTAATAACAGTATTCTGTTATGGGATGTGGCATAATGCCACTGGAAAGCCAGCTCCTCAGACTGAAGAATAATACACTACATAATTAATCAGACACATTTTATTGCGTTTTTCTCTAGACTATTAGCAAACATTTCTCCAGTCATTATCGATGCTGCTCCACTGATGATATCGCTAGTCTTTCTATAAGGCGTTTTCTTCTGGGCACTTCCCTTTGTAAAAGTCGATTCCTTCATTTTCCCACAGTCAGCAGCAGAGTTGCTATTAAAATGGTATTCTTCTAGTCTCATGGCTTAAAGATTATTATAGTATGCAATCGCTCGTTCTATAGCTATAGCTTAAGACTGCAAATTCATCACCGTCAGGCTAATGATATAAGCTCGGATACGTGAGTTTTATTTGAAATATATAAAATGAAGTTTCAAGTTTAATATGCTCTTCATCATTTTCATCTACATTATGAAGTAAAACACCACTTTGGTTCAAGTGTGTAGCTATATATCTAATTGACCCTGCAGAATAGCTTTTCTTCTAAAGTCTACATTACTGAAAATTTTATTGTCATAATTTTGGCAAAATAATTAAGAAAGAAAAAACAAATTGTAATTCTGAATTTAATAAAAGCATTTTGCGCGTTAATCTATACCATATAACTATTACGACACCTTATATAAAAACAAATGTCTTTTAACATTTTAAAAATATAAAAGGAAGCTGTAGAAAAGGAATCACAGAAATTAATAATCATCAAAATGTAATCAAGGTCCATCGAGTCTTCATATTCATATTCTGTACTCTATTGAGACCACATATGAAGCACAGTTAATTAGAAAAATCTTATTTATTATCTGAAAATTAATGCCAAATTTTATCGGTAAAAGTTAAAGTTCAGCAAACTTTCGGTATTTGGACTAAATGAAAAGAATACTTTCTATTAATACAAATGGCAAAGTAAACATGTAGAGACCTTAGGTAGTTTTTGTAAGCAGGAGTCATGAAAAATAAGCAACGCCCTTGTCGGGAATCGAACCACGGACCTCTGCAAATACGCGCCCAGCGTGCTGAACACTAAACTACGAAGGCATGCTAAGAAGACGGGAGAAATCCCTTATAAACATTAAGCTTAAAATGTAACAAACCTTAAACCCCTTTTAAAGCCTTAAACCGCTTTTTAAAAAGTAAAGAAAAATAAAAAATGAAACTTTAACAAATCACTGATAAATATGAAATGAAGTATTATATATATATATATATATATATATATATATATATATTCACTCTTACAAATTATTGTACACATGAATATCCTAATACCTTACGTAAAACCAAATGATCTTCAATTTCTTTTTAGCACTTTAAAAGTTAAAAGAACAGAAAGAAATTAGACCAGTACGTGAAAAGCAATACCTCACTTATGGATCTCTGATTCTCACACTCTAGAGTCCATAAAAGTTTCATCTAGAAATGCTATATACGTAAGGGGCGTTCTTTATTGCCCCAAACTTTTTGCACAAAATTCAAACGTAGTAAACTCTCGCTATTGTGGATTAAACTAAAAGAAGTCATTTAGTAATAAGATAGATAAAAGGAATAATTTTTAAGACTAATAAAAAAAAGTATTCTATCATTAGTTACAATTTGTACTTAAAAGTTAATTTATTTTCAGTTTTATGTTTCCAACGCACAACTTTCATAAATTGACCTTCCTCAAAGAAATTTCACGAAATTTTTTAAACTGTATACGTACATTCATTCAGTTATCTTAGACTGATATTCACTGACATAGCATTAAAAACAGTTACATTGAATTCAAAAGTGAGTAACACGAATATTTCCATCACAAACCTTATTTCCTTGGATTATAAACCAACTACATATTGGTACTACAACTCCCTTATATTGGTAGAAGAAAATTTATAAGATAGAAGTAAGGGTGTCGAATGTTAGTTTTAAATGTATGTTTCTGGAAAACTGAAAACCATTCAAGATTATCAAGCCTGCTAATATTAAAGAATAACTCATTTAAAAGAAGCAAAAAATAACAGAAGATTAAATCTCGGAGAATTTTATATTCATGTAATGGAAATAACAAGCAGTTTTGCGTAAAAGGATAATACCTAACAAGAAGTACATGACAAGTTACAAAGGCATGTTGGTAAAGATTAGTTATAATATAAGTAAAATTAAATTTTGTTAAAATTCTTACATCCATGGAAGACAAAGAAAAGTTTAGCAAATCATAATCAACGAAGTAAAATGAAATCTTAAACTAAAGACTAGTCCAGCAGCCTAATAATAAAAATATTAATAAAATAGAATATTAGTATACTATAGAGAGTAAATTTATTTATTTATTTTTTATCTTAATTATGTAAAATTTGAAGATTAGTATTTTAGTTATCAAGAAAGGAATATATTTGAAGTTTTTAGAATGTGCGAAGAAAGTATCGAAAGACAATATGAACATTAGAAACTTCTGATCTTTAAATGCATATTATAGAATATAATATAGCAATGTACACCATTGGAAATTATGGATGGTATGTGAAGAATAAGAGGTACATTTTAGCAGTCATGCAAAATCTTTATTCCAAATTCATTTCCTAAAACTAGCCATTATATCACATAAATATAACTGATTTTCAAGCCTACATCCTTATGCTTCATTTCGTAAAAACATTGTATCACTTACTTCCAATAAAGAAGTTTTGCAACTGGCAATCTTTGACGCAAAATGGTCAGATGCAGATTTCAACCATCTAACTGAGAACAAATTAGATGGATCAGTGGCGGATTTATGAAGGAGGGCCCCATTCAAAGGAGGTGAGTTTTGACTTAAGACGCATGATATGTTTACTGTTTTTCTTTTTTTAATTATTTGATGATTTGGAGAGCGGGACCTATTGCGATTGTGACATGCGCGACCCATAAATCCGCCTCTGAGATGCATGTAAATGTAAACCCACAGAATCAAAGACTAACTAAAGATTCATGATAAAGGTATTGCGCAGAGTATTATTGCAAAAATTATCAACTCATAATAGAAAACACATAGCATTTCATGATGTACCACAATGAGAAAAATGAAAAGAACTTAATCATAATAATAATTATATATCATATCAGTAAGCTCAGGCTTTCATCATAGAAGACTTTCTTCGAGGAATTATAATGTTTGCGCTGGTAAGGTGATCTAGTTAATAATAATTTTCTGCTTTTATTTACTAAAGAAATATTATTATGTTGAGAAGGAAAAAAAATTTTTTTTTTCCTAACTTAAACTAATCTTAGAATATGATAAACAAAAAATCATTTGAAGTGTCAGACTGGATTTTTGTTATAGACGCTAACAAAGCATCTTACAATTAAAAAAAATATTATAATGTTAATTTACAACTTCTTAAAATAAGAAAGAGCAAAAAAGCATAAATTATACATTTTTGATGGTAAAATCAAGTTAATACAATACTATTTTTGTATCGTTGAGTTTCATTTTTTTTTTTTTACTTTTAATATTCTTAATAAATAGTTCTTTGTTATTATAATAATTAAAATAAATAATACAATTTTTAATTAGTTTCAATATACAGAATGCGTGCAGATGTGGATTAAATAAATATAATTTAAGAAGAGGGCTTGGGAATAACACAGTACGTTTACTGCAAATATCATTGCATTTTGATTATACTAATTTAGTAAATTCAATTCAGTAACATTTTTTGAATTTGTTTATAAAGCAATTACATCCATTCTTTAGCAACTGTATGCAAACATCTGAAGACTACCTCACTTTTGATTCATTTAACAGAAGAGTAGAATTTAAAATTATAACAGAAACTTTGAGAGATGGAAGGCTTTCCTCTTTCACAAAATGGAAGGGCATGATAAGAAGAACAACCTGAAAGTTTTTAGAATTAATTAATGAAAATAAATTTTATTTCTTTGATTTATACTTTCCATTCTCCATTTTTTTTAAATCTTAATTTTAGAAGAAATTATTTTGTTTACTGCTTGCATTTTACGCAAAAGTGAGCTTACTACATATAAGTCGTATTATAATTTGTTTCTCGAACAGTATAATAAACCCCAAGAAAGAAAAATACATAAACATTTTTAATGCCACTGGTATATAGATATATAATTATTATTATGATGAAATATACGTTGAATTAATGATTTTTCACGACTTTAAAAACTGTTATTATATTTTTAACAAGTCCCTAATATTAAGAACAACTATTCAGGCACTGCTAATTTTGAAAGAACTTCTTAACAATTTTGTGTTCTGCAGATTTCACATAGAAAGTGCAATGTACTCTCTACCGCTCTCTATGTCAGATATGTGAACACGCCTAAGACATTACATGCCCATCATATATGATTATCGTTTTAGCATTTATGGTTATAAATAGCGAAAATATTTGAATGCAAGCAATTAGATAAATACAATTCTAGAACTCTGAAATGGAATTATATTTAACATTTTAAATATGGAATTTTTGTTTTGGTACCGAAGAGAAAAATTACCAGCCACATAAAACTTGTATTTATACAAACTTATCGTATAACATTAATTATTGATTTTTAAAATTAAAAGTTTAGTAAACTATTTTCCGTTAAAAGGTGATGCTAAAAATGTCTTACAGATATAAAAAAGTACATCTCTGTAACTTCCGTAACTTTGTAGTATTGTGAATGTTATGTGTTAATTTAAACACCTTCACGAATAAAGATAATTAAGATGTGATAGCAAATTTGCTTCTTAAACTCATCTTAAACACGTACCTGCATCGATCTCTCGCCTACCTATTACTGAGCTGGTCATCTCATCAAGGAGCACTCCAGTGAGTAATTTTATTAAAATAACTAGTCTCTAAAGGGGTGACTTACCTAGCCTCGCAGGTAGAATAATCCGGGAGGGAACAAGGAACGAGGCGGCCCGACAGACATCCCGCTAGGCCTAAAATGATGGACGGATAGGAGGGAGGCTATCCCACTGGTGGACGGATACGGAGAGACCACCTCACGCTGCTCCAGCCAACAGTAATCTGCGCCAGTTGCCCACTTGCCTACCTGCGCAGGTAGTCGGACATCGACCGGCGCAAGCCTGGTGGTTCGCGGAGATGCCCGGGCCGTCGCTGTAACCATTCGGGGTGCGGACCTGCCTGCACAGCTACCTTTCTCTGACGTTATTCTTTTTTCCCCCATCCAACTTTTTCCAATTTTCACTTGTTTACTCTTCCGAGAAAAAGAGAATTAAGTCTTAGAATCCATCTTTTGAACTGATAATGAACCTAAAAAAGAATGCTTTTTTATTAGGTAATGTTATGATTTGATATGATTAGTTATGAAAAACAATTTTGGGTGTTTTTCGCTTGCTAGATAAAGGCAGCAACATTGAAAAATTTACTTGGTTTGCAGGAGGATTAGGATTTAAAATACCTTGTAATATGAAGAAGGAAGCAAATGTTTGATTTTCTAGCATTATCTTATGGTAAGAGTATTACGTTTTGTATAAGAGAAAACAGATTTTCCAGACAATCCCGATAAAATTTTCCAAAAATTCTGTTCTTGAATAATAGATTCCTCCAAGAATTCTCAAATGTCTTAAACTGATTTTTGAATCCTTTGATAGCGTTTATTCTTTCTTGTTATTAACGCCGTTATTAATGGTCTATGCTGCTATTTACGGTAAAGTGATTAGGTATTCAAACTTCTAAAACATGAATAAAATAAAATTAGGTAATAAATTTACAAAGTTATTAAAAAAAGGAAAACATCTGAAATAAAAACAGAACAGTTTGGAATTAATTATTATTAACAAATTTTATCAAGAAGTTTATGCACAATACATTCACTTGGTAAAAAAGAATAAACAAAAGTAAAGCATGAACGTATTTAAAGTTTTCAAATTATTTCCATCGAAAGCGTTTCCTTATGTCCAAATAGAGAGGGAATATAATAAATAAAAGTAAACACTCACTGCTAATGTGCATATCAGAAGTCTTATTGCATAAAAACTGAAAATCGACAGTTTATTAGCCCAAAGGGGCAATTTACCCAGAAGAGCTCTTGATTTCTTTTGCATTTTGGTTTGGTTCGTTATAAACGGCGTTTCACTTTTCAAATTGTTACCACCAAATATTAGAACCCTGCATTATAGTTAAAGAAATTAAATAATGAAGCATCTGCATGAATGTATGTATGTATCTCACACTGTGAAATAACAACGGTACCTAGAGACATCAAATTTTGAATAATGTAGTCCTTCACTCGAATATGGGCAACTGGAAGCTTATATTTGAAATTTGTTTTAGCATCTATTTCATAATTTGTAAAATTTACCAAATTTTTGATTAACAAACTCAACGATTTCAAAGAGAGCAATGGCAACTCTGTACTGTAATTCATCTTAATTATTTAACTGCGACAAAAAGTTGATTAAGGTTGCTACAGTTGAACTAAAAAAAAGTGCAAAAATAAAAATTACTGTTGATTTTTACTTTTTTAGTATCATCCACAAAATGTTGTTTGGATTAGGAATTAAAATTTCATAGAGTGAGTTCTAAATCGAGATTTCACAATTCTTTTTTTAAATATTTTTCTCCAAATGCATTACACATTTTGAAAACAACATCTAATAGTAAGGCGAAGCCGAAATATATTGTATTTCCATATCTAACTGTCAGAAAAAGTTATTTATCTTGTAACGTATTATTGCCAATAACATATTAAAAATACACCTAACAGTAGGAAGAAAAATAATGAACGTAAAATAATTAACAGAGAGGGGAATGTGTTTTGCATTTTTAGAATGCAGACACTATTTTTTCTTTTTTTAAAATCATATTTCCTGATAAATAATATCAACCGTATATTTCGCATAAATATTCCTTACTTCATAATTTTCTAGTTCGCAATCATTTATTTAGAAATCAGATATTTCGCATACTATTTTAAAATTCTTTGATTTCTTGAAAATATTTAACTTTAATAGCGATACCTAACTTTAATAGCACAGGCTCTACATTATAGTTTTATATTAATTGGTTCCATATATTATAATAAATGGTAAATTTTTATAAATTATTTAGGTTCATTCCTTCATTTGATTCTTTTAATTATCGATCTCTTTGATATTTATTTACAGATTATCTGCCTTTTTGATCACATTATTTATTTATTATTTCTGTATATGTTTGCGTGTGTAGTTTTTTAACTATTTCTGATTCAGTGTTCTTTGAGTTCTTTAAAAACATCAATCGTTTACTGTTTTCTATTAAACCAAGTTCAAACATTCAATTTCTCTTAAAATAAATAACAATATTTTAATATTTACAGCTTTTTAAGATTTTATTACAGCAAGAAAAAGGGACAAAACCAAAACTGAAATTAGAAACTTATGTCTTTCACTGCATCGTTATCAGAACTTTGTGTAACGAAAGACGTAAATAAATCGGCCTGTTTCTAAACTAAAGACATGAATTAAAGTATAAAAATTAAACCAATTTCAGAAAAAAAAAGGTCAAAGTAATCTGCGTCTTTATCAGTCGCAGATCGAAGTAAGCAATGCAAACAAATGCAAAATTGTAGCATCGAATATTCAAACAAATTTTAAAAACTTAAAATTATTATTTTGAGCAGACGGAGTTAAAAAAACAGAAACTGCAAATGCAAAAAATCCAACGTATGCAAAAAAACAAAAACATATCCAAATTTTGAAACCCCTCAGGCGCATTTAAACACATCTTAAAAATTACAGCGTACAAATCAAAAACAAATAAAAACTTTAAAATTTAACAATAATAATAGTTTTCAGTTTAAGCGGACCGTGCCCAAAAACATGTAAACAAAATAAATCCAATATATGGGAAATAATAAATGAAAATTTGATCCCAAAACCATAAAATAAAAATTAAAAAAAAAAAAAAAAAAAAAGCGTTAATTCTTATCTATAACATTACAGTTACAAAAGTTTCGAAATAAAAAAATATTAGAGCAACAAATGTTTTTAAATAAAACAGTATTATAGCAAGAGAAGTTTAGAAAAAATATATTCGACTTGTTTAATAGCTAAGCCTAAAATGTGCTAATGAATGAATTTAGATAAACTATGAAATTAAAATAACAAATTTAACTGATTAAACCTCCACTGTAACATTAAATAAGGTATAGCAAAAAAGAATAATTTCTAAAGAAAAAAAACATCGAATTATCTGAGTTATAAAAGCAAAGGAAACCCAACAGAATTAAATTCTAGTCAAGCATCAGTTCGCTTCATTTCAAGGATTAGGAAAAGTTGAGTATTTAGTTCAACACATGGAATACGTTGTAGTGTTTAATACCATAATAATAATAATAATAATAATAATAATAATAACAATAACAATAATAATAATAATAATAATAATAATAATAATAATGATAATGATAATTTCTTTTTAATTCAGCCATCGAAACAGTTTTAGTGCATTGTAGAAACATATAATTGAAAGAGTAAATACTTTTTGAAGAAGGTAAAAAATTGTGATTAAAGTTAGGGCAGTATCTAGTAAACTGAGCTAAGCTGTGAGCAATCTTAGAGAATGCAAAAGAGAATTTTAGCAAAAGTGTTATAAAAAGCTTGTCAAATGTTTAGAACTAAATCAAGAGACTTGGAAGCTTAGTAGGTCCATTTTGTTAATGAATGAGATAGATAATTCTCAGACAGTCAAATCCTGCATTGCATATAGCTCTAGAATATAACATTTTTATAACCTGATATTACGCTTGATGAGTGGTGTTGCGTATAAGTTTATAATATGTTTTGAAATTATATTTTTAACATTTAATTTGTATCGAACATAGTTTACATGAAAATTTGTTTCATAATACGCAATTCATATATTCATTGTATTCATTCAGTTTATAATAGTCATAGTAATTTCTACAATACTTTTATCTATGCACTATTTATTTATGCTTACCTGTGCTCACAATGCTTTATTTCTCAAGCTTAAATTTTTTTCCTTCTATTTCTGGCTAAAGTTAGAGATTCTTTTTTTCGGCAAAAATTCTTTTTTCTTTATTTATTAGATGCCGTATTCTATATAGATATTTATCAAAATATAACAAACAGTAATAACAATAAAGTACAAGGGAAAAAATAGTTTATTTTTTTTATCCGAAGTCTAAATATTGGTAACTGCAAGAAATTTTTCTTGGCTGCACTTTGTAATTCAAATGTATTTGCAATTAAATGTTAAATTTCCAAACAGTTGTTTATTTCAAAAAAATTCTAATACGCTAAATTAACCACTAAATAACTTACTTAAAATAAATAAATTTTACGAAACCTTTTCAAATTTCCTTCCCCCCCCGAAAAAAAAACTTTCAAAGTAGGACAAAATCTGAAAATAATTGCAACCCTTCTTCTTTTATTTATTAAATTTTTACTAAATATGCAGCAAAAAAGAAACGTATTTTTATATAAACAGTCATAATTTTCTTTATATCTTACCACAACATAATGGTATTTATATCAAAATTTGATGGCCCTAGATACCTTTGTTTTTTTACAACAAGAGAAACATGCATTCGTGCAGATTCTTCATTATTTAGTTTCTTTAAATATAATACAAGACGTTAATATTTGGTGGTAATAATTGAAAAGGTGATACGCCGTTTCTTGCGATTTAACACAAAATGAGGTTTCGAGACTAATATCCCAATAGGGACTAACGTCTCTTTTGAGCTAAGTAATACATCAGCAACTCGTCGTATCAAAGGTATACCACAAATCTTACAGAGTAACAGTGTGAATATGTATAGCTCAAGCTTGCAGAAGAAAAAAATAAAATGTATTTGATGATCCAGACTATGTCTAAAGAATTAAATACAGCGGTTCACATTTGATCTCGGACCCTTGTATTTTCGACATTGATTTGTGCATATTTTGCATTAAATTTTGAAAGACAGGCTCGAATTGTTTTTTTAAAATGTTATTTTATTTTTTCTCTATTTTAAATCTTGC